CCTGCTACTCCCTCCTAACACAGAAACGATTGCCCTTTTGCAGACGTGGCCTTAGCTAACTGCCCACCGCACCTGGGGATCCAGACTCTCCGGCTTCCTTCCCCGATGGTTCTCAGGCCCTCCTTAAACTTCTGGGACCTGAATTCTTGCTCCCTCCAAACCTGCTCCAGTCATCCACCCAATGAAGCACATTAAATAGGATATTCTGACACAAGAGAAATGCCTGACCCTCTGACTGGCTACAAGGCCATTTTCCAGAGCTATCAGGAGTCAATGAGCAAGCTGGAGAGAGGAAAGGAAAGCCCTGTCACTGCTCCTCGCCCATAAAGCCAGACGGAGCGCTGCCCACAGGGACTCACATGATGTTGGCTTTGTGCACGGCTGTGACGTTGCTCCGGAGATTGTTCCGCGCATACTCAAAGGCAAACTCCGCGATGCGCTTGCTCGCCCCCTCAGTAATGAGCTTGATACTCTGCACAACTCCATCCACAATCTGAAACAGAGGAAGTCCTGCCTTGCTGAAAGGGTATGGCAACAACCCGGTCCTGGACTGCTGGCAGTGTGCAGACAACACCATCTGTGGCAGGCTTGCATGGCACCAGCTGCCAAGGCAAGCATCATGCATATGGTATGTCAGTGAGGTTAATCACGTTCACTCCAGTCCTAGGAGCCAGGTATTATAAGCCTCACTGCACAGATGAGGAAAACCAAGGTGCAGAGATGGTTACGTATGAAGTTGAGGATTCAAAACTCAAACAGAGGACAAGTTCCCAAGTCCATAACCTGAAGCACCACAACCCCTCGCCCAGGCATCCATTTGAGTACTGTCAGCCAGAGACCCAGGACAAGACAAACACCCACAACTCCTCACAGAATGCAAGAGAACTGTCTTTGGGAAATATTTTCAACTGGGAGTTTGAACAAAGGTCCCAAGTGCATAGAAAGCAACCCAACTAAGAATGAAAAAGTATCCAAATGAACATACCACATGCTCAATTCCACTGTATTCTCCTTCCGTGTTCTCTCGAATGGTGACAATATTTACATCACTGTAAGGGGTTTTATAGCCTTCGATTGAGACACATGGTCGGACATTTGCGTAAAGGTCAAATGTTTTACGCAGCAATAAATTCATGGATGGGTGACCCGCAGCTATGGGGGTTTTTAAAGGGCCTGTAATAAAGAAGAATACCCAGATGACAAGAGGATACAGTCTGGTCTTTTCTTTTCCTTTATAAACACAAGTACATAGTATTGACACTTGTCCCTCGGCATGGGGGTTTGGGGGGAGGGATTGATCCGGGACCCAGCAACCCAGCAGATACCAAAATCCATGGATGTTCAAGCCCCTTATTATAAAATGACATGGTATATGCATATAACCTACACACATCCTCCTGTAAACTAAATCATCTCTAGACGACTTATGATACCTAATATAATATAAACACTATGTAAATAGTTGCCAGTGAAAAAATTCAAGTTTTACTTTTTGGAACTTTGTGGATTTTTTTTTTTTTTTGCTGGTAACACCAGTTTTATTCGTTGGGGTGTCAACTATAGCCTGGCTGGGGGCAGGGCCAGCCCTCACAGTGGTTGAGCTCCAGCAGGGTCTGGTCGAGGGCCTGGTGAATCTCCACGTTCCCCTCCTTGGCACTGGCCAAGGTCTCTTCCACGTCATCAATGGTTTTCTCCAACTTTGCCACCGACCCTTTGGCAAACTGTGCTCGGGTCTCAGCCTCCTTTAGCTTCTCCTCCAGCAGTCTGATCTCCTCTTCATATATATTTATCTTCTTTGGTGGAATACTCCTCCTCTGAGGCCATCAGGGACCTGAGGGCCTGGTCCCTGGCCTGAAGATCCTCCTCCTCTCAGCCACCTCAGCTGTCTCTTCTGAGTGCTCCAGCTCTCATTCCAGGATCACTAGCTTCCGGGCCACCTCCTCATATGTGCGGTCCGAATCCTCAGTGATGTGCTTGGCCTCCTTCAGCTGCATCTCCATCTTTTCCTCATCCTTCATAGCTCGGTTTTCCATGACCTTCATTCCTCTCTCACTCTCATCAGCTGCCTGTCAGCCTCCTCCGGCTCTTGCAGGGCTGTAGCCAGGCGCTCCTGCGCCTGGTCCACTTCCTCCTCTACCAGCTGAATGCAGCCGTTCAGGGAGGCCACATCCGCCCTGGCATTGGTGGCTCTCTTCTCAGCCTGCTCCAGTTTCTCCTGGGCATCCTTCACTGATTCAGAAGACTTTTCCACCTCGTCCTCCGTCCCTTTCAGCTTCTTCTGGAGGGCCTGCTGCACCTCCTCCAGCTGCTTGCTGCTGTCCTCAGCTTGCTTCTCGTCAGCCTCAGCCTGCTCAGCGCAGTCGATAGCATTCTCCTTGTCCAGCTTTAGCATCTGCAACTTCTTGATGGCATCCATGGTTGTGGTGGGAGACCAGCTGGCCGGTGGGCAGTGCAGACCAGGCTAACTGGGCTGGCTGCACGGACTGGTGGCACCGGTGGCGAGCAAGGAGGACCAACCGGGACTGGGATGTCCCAGCCCAGAATTTTTTTTTTTAATATTTTCCATACATGATTGCGAATCCACGGATGCACATGTGGATATGGAGGGCCAACTGTATTTGAAATTCCAATTTTTATTTTTTCCAGTATTCCATCAGAGGTGTATTTAGGATCCTTTCTTTGGACATGAAGTAGCTTTGTGACACATCTACCATGCAAGCTTCGTGAATCAAGGGGCACTTTTACAACAAAGTAAGCATCATTTTTTTTTTTTTTTTTTTTTTTTTGCGCGGTACGCGGGCCTCTCACTGCCGTGGCCTCTCCCGTTGCAGAGCACAGGCTCCAGACGCGTAGGCCCAGCGGCCACGGCTCACAGGCCCAGCCGCCCCGCGGCATGCGGGATCCTCCCGGACCGGGGCACGAACCTGCGTCCCCCGCATCGGCAGGTGTACCCTCAACCACTGCAACACCAGGGAAGCCTCTACAAGCGTCATTTAAAAGGGCAGACAGGTGCTCTGTTTCTGAGTCTGATGTTCTCTTCATCGTAAATGAGTCCATCCATGGCTGGTCACTCTTAGGCAATATTCAGTGCCTACTCCCTGTGTCATCTACAGGCCTACCTGGGCTACCTTGTGAAATATGTTCTGCCTCTAACTTTACCCTCTCCCTCAGATTCAGATGAAGGAAGAAATTTCCTCAATGAAGCTTTCTGGAATATCAACTGCAATGAGCATCTACTGACTGAGGACCAAGCACGGTATCAGGTCCTTGACATTAGCTAATCCTATGACACCACCTCCCTATGAGGTATCAACTCTATTGCTGTCATTTTTTTTTTTTTTGGCTGCCCTGTGCTGGTCTTTGGGATCTTAGTTCCCTGATCAGGGATCGAGTCCGGGCCCTAGGCAGTGAAAGCACTGAGTCCTAACCACTGGACTGCCAGGGAATTCCCTATTGCTGTCATTTAAAGGTAAAGGGGAAAAAAAGAGTAAGAAATTTGCCCAAGCCTCCCAGCCGGTAAGCAGCAGGGATGAAATTCATAGTGGATCTGTCTGGATTTAAAGCCTATGCTGGATTCCAATCTGTCATATGCTAACATTTTGAATCATGACCTTAAGCATGTATGAATTAAAATAAAAATGTAAAAATTATACAAAAGATAAATCTAGGTAAAGATAAATATAACACCCGTAGCAGAAATCAAAAATAAGCATCATATTCACTTCAGTGCTACCTTTCAAGCCCATCTTGTTCTTATCCATGGACTCTTTGGCTTCTGGAGGGATCATCCACTTTCCTCCCGGTCCTTGAATGGCGGTGACATTCCGCTCCTCCCACTGAATAGGTGCCTAGATACCACAACACAGAGCACAGTGAACTGGAAAGACCTACATGTGACTGACATTCACACTACAGTTATAAACAAACTTCCTCACTTTGGATGCAACTGGTGAAAACACATACAATAAAGTCCCGGAAAATTCCTGGCATGCAAGAAGAGATGTCATTCTCTAGCACGTCCAGACGGATTCTCCACATTACCCTTGTCCAGTCATCACTCCTAGCTGCCACTTGCCTACTTCTTTTTTTCACAATCACTGTTAACGTGGCTATAATTATAATATCATAAGGAGCAGAGAAACATGATTCACAGAAATATCACATAGTACTGATACATGGATGAATCTTGAAAATATTATGCTAAGAGCCAATCACAAAAACCATGTAATTTTTTTTGAAGTTTTGAATTTTATTTATTTTTTTATACAGCACATTCTTATTAGTTATCTATTTGATACATATTAGTATATATGTGTCAATCCCAATCTCCCAATTCATCATACAAAATCCATGTAATTTTAAGACTCTATTTATATGAAATGTCCAGAATAGGCAAATCTACAGAGAGAGAAAGTAGATTAGTGGTCGCCTAGGGCTGGTGATGGGAGGGGGCAGGGTGGGAGAGATAAAGGTGATGGGGAGTGACTGCTGATGAATATGGGGTTTCTTTCTGGGTGACAAAAATGTTCTAAAATTAGACTATGGTGGTGGTTGCACAACTCCATGAATGAACTGTATACTTTACATGATGAACTGAACAATATATGAATTAAATCTCAATAAAGCTGTTAAGAAAAAAAAGACATATTATATAACCTATGAAAGAAGTTTTAAGGAATAAACCAGCGTTATCCTTTCTTTTCACCCACACCCTTCAATGTGTACACACACATCTGACAGCCAACTGGGCACACACTAGGAATAGGAACACAGAGCAAGACTTGTGCTCCTTGTTCACATGGAGCTTACAGCTGAGAGCCATCCTATTTCAGTTCCCTTGAGGAATGCTATTGTATAAGTATCATTTCCTCTGTAGGACTTTTAATTAAAAACTCATAGAAAAACAATGTATGTTTAGTATAAATAAATTGAATTCCTTGACTTATAGCTGTTGGTATCATAACAACCCTGATTTTTTTTTTTGCTGTACGCGGGCCTCTCACTGTTGTGGCCTCTCCCATTGCAGAGCACAGGCTCCGGACGCGCAGGCTCAGTGGCCATGGCTCACGGGCCTAGCCGCTCCACGGCATGTGGGATCTTCCCAGACTGGGGCACAAACCCGTGTCCCCTGCATCGGCAGGCGGACTCTCAACCACTGCGCCACCAGGGAAGCCCAACAACCCTGATTTAATCTTACACATTATTTCGCCTAGCAGCTATAAATAGCAAGAATAAAGCATCAGGTCAAACAAAGTCCAAGTTTCCTAAATTCTCTAGATTTTTAAATATCTACCTGCATTGAAGGCTAGGCTGTTGGATAATAATACCTCATACTTGATATTTCCACACCAGGAAAAAAAAGAAAAAGAATATTTCAAAATGCCCTATATAGTTTTCTGAAATATCAATTCTATTCTCTTTTTTTTGGCAGGAAGGAAAAATGAGATAGACAGGTGACTTGGAGGGGCTTAAAGACTTTAAACCCAGGCAGTGTTCAAAAGTCCACAAAAATTACAGTACTCCTTGGATTACTTTATATACAACTGATGCCAATGCAATAGCTTAAACTATTGACAATGACGGCAGCAAACAACACTCTTAAAGTCAGAATCTGTGAAATTTAACAGACCTCACCAACTTCATACAAACGTGAACAATTCATCCTAAGGGTTCACGGTCTCCAACTGGCTAAGAAAACTTTTCTACAAATTATTATCAAAAGTATTTTTTAAGACCACTTACTTTGGCAGCATCAAAAATCTTCATAACTGCGGCTGAAATTTCTGGGCCAATTCCATCTCCTGGAATTAAAGTTACCGTCTTAACCTGAATATAAGAAATCATCAAAGAAGACAGTCAGAATTGATTTTTGAAGGTTTAAAAAGGAACATCATTGACAAAGAAATCCAGTTTATGGGTTTTCTTAACTCATAAGAAATGGCTTTAAGAAAACAGACCTACCTTCCAACGGCTTATCAAAGTGGAGCCAAGAATCAAGAGACTCCACAACTCTACTCCCGAGCTGAGCCCAGAGGTTTTAAAAAGAACTTAAGTGATGTTCTCCAGATAAAACAAACTACATGGTAAACTTCCCAATTGATGTTTCGTTTCAGACAAACTACAAAGAGACCAATTAATTCAAGTCTGTAAAACCAAGGAGAGCAAAACATTTCAACAATGTTCTCTCAGTAAAATTTAGAGGGCTTCCCAGGAAGGCAAGGGCTTTCCTCTCCACCGGGAGCCTAAAAAGTCCGGTTTCTCATGCAACTCGTTCAGCCTTACAAAACTCTCAGACACTTCCAGAGTACCACTGAGGTCTGTTTTGGCACTCAGAAAATCAGACTTCACATCAAGAGAGGGTCTCCATTTTCCTGATTTCCTTTATAAAATTAGCTCCTAATGACAAAAGTAATCCAAATAAGCTCAGCAAAGTTTATTTGGAACCAACAAGAATAGGGTATGTGATCATACCTGCAATGTCTGGATTACACTTAGAATGACAAGTGTATTTGTAATGTAACATCAACGATTTAGTTCAAAGGCTTCAAACAAAATACAGCCAGCATTTCAAACACAGAAAAAAATGTGTAAAGGGAAATGATGAGAGGATTTAAATGAGGATTACCATTTGGAAACTATATATGTCATTATTTGGGTATTTCCCCTACCTAGAAGTTTGGTTCAGACAACGGTCCCTGGCCTTTTTCAGTGCCAGCTGCCTGTGCTACATTTTTAAAAATCACTGATTTACATTTCCCCGGTCTTTTACCTTCTAGTGATGCTCCCAAAGCAGGTGGACTAATTATTCCTGAATTTTTCTGTACAACTGAAGAAATCTTTTTTAAAAATTAGTTTCTTTTATTTCTTTCAAATATAACCCCCTCCCCACCAAGCCAATATATATTTTTTAATGGACAGCCTGAAAATTAAATAATAGCAGAGAGCAATGGTCATCTCATTAGCTTTCAGAATGCGTTTGAAATGCTAGCTAGCTAAATGCTAGCTTAACTAAAGCGCAAGCCTCATTCTGCATCTTTTGCAGCAAAAGCAGAGCCGAAAGAACCCCTTTGGCTTCTTCTTCCTGTTCTCCCAACATGTAATAACAAACGTCATCAGGCCACCAGAAAAAACTACTCTACTTCCACAGCTCAGAAAGTAAATGAAAAAAGATATACTATAGTCTTATAAATCCCTCACAGGGTAAGATATTATACGGGAGTATAGGAATTATGAAATCCAAATCAGATTCTGTAAGAAGGAGGTAAAATAAAAACATACAGGAAGTCACTGACCCACAGTCTTAGAATGCTCTAAAAATGTGGTATCAGCTTTTAAAGCACAGAACTCTAACGCTAGGAATTCTAAAAGCAGCAGATTTAATGAGAAATAGATGATCCGCTAACACAAGAGTCTATGGAGACTACGTAAGCAAAGTATTGATACATATAAGCCTACAGGGCTTATAGATGTTAGAGGCATTCCT